ACTAGTAAAGGTAAGTAAAAGGGAAACCTTTCACAATGTGATATTTCCAAGGAAATAAAGAGAATACCTAACAGTATTATTCATCATGAGGGCATTTTGAGATACGCTGTCTCTGAAGGATTGTATCGTCCTCATTCTGAAACATTACACAGTTGCCCCAGTGATTTTAACATTTAAATATAGATGAACTTCACAGGTCGTATATAAATGAGTGTCTTTATATAAAGTCCATCTAACGATGGCGCCAGACTTTATACAACCACAGATGTGTACCATCTCTTAGGTTCTTCATTTATATTTCAATCGAACAATAGATTTTTTGCAAATAAAATGTCTAATACAGACATGAATAGTCAATAAAAACATCAGTTCATCGTATGTCTTACAATCAACAAACAAGCTTTTTTTTCAAATCTCATATTATACAGAATAATGAGACAATATTTTGTATATTAAATTTTTTTTTAACATTTTGATAGCAAATTCTTCATATTGAAAACAAAAACGCTGACTTAGAAGATACTGAGAAAAAATACCACAAAATAACCAAATGTGGTAACAACATCAACAACAATAATAATAACCATATAAATTATAAAACGATATTTAGTTTTTTTCATGAGCAAACTAGTAAAATGCTGCAAGCAAACATCAGCACTTGACGTGGCCACACAGTGGGCATGTGCAGAACTCTTACAGCTTTGGGTGTGTTGTATCACAACTACAGAATCATCAGTACTCCTCCGCCGTCACAACAGGTACTATTCCGCATGCAGGGGGCAGGATGCAGGGAGGTGGGCGGAGTACTAGACAAAATATTGACACCATATAAGAAATGGAAGTAGCCTTTCCAGTCTCAGAGTGGAGCCGCACAAGCAGACTAGAAATGATTTGCCGAAGGTAATTCCTTATGAATGAAAGTGAGAAAATGAAATTAAGATTTTGTTACAGTTTTTAAATATCTCATTTATAGATAAAATATGCATTAAAGCACAAGATACTGTGTGTGCTGTATAAGGGCTCTTAACATCGACTGCAATCAGGTTCAACAGGCAGAGTTGTAGTCAAGTCCTCATCTTTCAGTGCAAATTTAAGCCCCGGGTCAACAAAGATTTCAAATTTTAAAAGTCTGTTTAGTGGTTATGGTATTAAGTCATAGGTTAAAGTTGAGTCCTGTGTTTGGACTCATCCGTTCTTCTTGAACTCGAGGAATAGTGTTTAGAACAGGCGTGGGCAAACTGTTTGACTTGCGGGCCAAGAATGTCCTAAAATTGAACAGGGGGGCCGGGTCAGGAGCAGATAGATGGAGGGTTTGTGTTTGAACTAAGATAAATGACATGGAAAAGTCCTACATAAAGGCTAAAATGTCACCTATCTATACCATCTATTGGGGAAATGTGGGTATTGCAGGAAAAATGCAAACGTATAATGATAATATAAATAAATTATATGATTTGGAAAGGTTTGGTGGGCCAGATTAAAAAGCTGAATGGGCCGCATCCGGCTCCCGGGCCTTAGTTTGCCCATGCCTGGTCTAGAACTTAAACTCAAAAAACTTAAACTTAAACTTCTTTAGACCCTAGGGACTTGGAGATACTGGGACAAGCAAAAAAAAAACCTTTTGGTCACTTCTAATGTGTAACTTTCTTACTCACTGGCGTCCGACTGATTACACTTTGGTCATCAACAAATGCTGCACTTTTATGTTGTCTATTTTTAATATAGTGCTTAGCATGACTGCCTTGCTAGCAGAGTGTCCTAGGTTCCATTCCCAGAGAAACCACATGCTTGGTACTTCCAGGGATCAGCCTGTTGCAGCAGATCTCCTGTTCACACAAGAATGTCCCCAGTGTGAATGAAGAGAAGTTCAAATTCAAATTTTAAAGGGATGTGACCCAAAACCACAGAGTACTCCTCCCAACCTAACTCTTTTCTTCAGTGACCTGCACTGGGATTAGGAACTCTGAGGACAAACTTCATTTTCTGTGACATGCTCTCCAACTTTTCTTTGATGACTTGGACCTGGATGGACAGACCTGGACATGAACACTGAGGACTAGTCTACAACTGTGCCACATGCAGACTGGTGGAGCCAATATTTGATCTTATAAACCCAGTATGTCTGAGTCTTTCAATGTATCATTGTGGATTCACTCTGCAACTGCCGGGTGGCATCCACTTTTCATAGACTGTTTATGGGAGTACAGGACACTACACTACACTGTTGGCAGTGATGGTTTGGAAATCGGTAGGGTGCTCACAGCTGCTAGGTTGGGCTAAACAAACACGTTGAAAGGAATAGAGAGAGTCAAGTTGATGTCGGCTCGCTGTTCGTGCAGAAAGTAGTGTGTGTAGTTTCCCCATTCATTGATACAGCTAATTGTTTCTATTGACAGGCAAAAGAAAACTTTATCAAAGTACTGTCAACACTGGCAGACAGTATAATACTGTACGTGGTTACAGTTCAGGTAAAATCTACCACTTAATATGCAAAGCCACAAAACCCAACACTAGTACCTAGCCAGCTTTTGTTTATAAGTCCTGTCTGTGAGAGAAGGCTTGAATGCTGTCATTATATTTCAATGTGACTGATGCATTTTCAAGGTTTCAAGGTTCAAAAAGCTTCATTTGGAGATAAAGTGCTTCAAAAGGCATGGAAACTGCAATTACATACAGTGTGAGACCAAAAGCTGATTGTCAACCCCTTTGACTCGTGTTATTTTGGCAGATATACTTGGGATAAAGGGTAACAGCTAAAAATCACACACAAAAAGTGAAAGAAATTCTAAAAAACAATTTAGCTCCAGATTAATTTCTCAGTTTGCCAAGAAACACAACAAGAGAGTTTATCCAGAAATAGCTGATAGTTTTTTGCACCAAAAACCACTAGTTACAAGAAGCTGCTAAGAACAGCTTTAAGTTTAAACAGCAATAGTTAAAAATATTAGCAAAAGAAAGGTGCCAAAAACACATTTTGTCATGACAAAAAAGGTGGCTAAAATGATAGCTTAAAGCTTTGAGATTTAAGCTGCAACTTATGAATACAAAAAGAGCTCACAACAGGTAACCAGGTTCTCAAACCCCGGCCCCAGAACCACTTCTTCTTCAATTCTATGTCAGTAATAAATAAATCCTCTCCTTTAAAATGTCTTTATATTTATTTGCTTCTTTATACATTTCTTCATTAAAAGAATGACCAATGATATATTCAACAAAACTACATTTTCTAAAATAGCTGTGGTTTTAAACATCAAACACTGACATGCCCTTCAGTGTCATGAAGGTGGCAGCAGTGAGCCTCATCTCTTTTGACTTTGAGTCCTCCAACTTATGACACACCAATTGAAACTAATGCCCAGTTCCATTACGTGTAGCACAAATATTCTTGCTGAGTAGCAGAGCAACTCAAGTCTCCCCTGAGCTTTTCTGACAGAGAGCTTTTAGCCCCCTCTACTGGACAAAAAGACAACTACAAGAGCACGTCTTTCTTAAAAACTAGTTAAATATGACAGGGCACTGGCAAAAATATTTTACTATATTTGTATTGTATTGTATTGAATATACTGAATACAACATATATTGATACTGCATGGTGTGAACGTTGACACAGCAAACAAAGGCAGCAAAAATCAAACTTCATGGCCATGGATTACTGTCCGACACAGCAAACAAAGGCAGCAAAAATCTTCAAAAAACTTCATGGCCATGGATTACTGTCATTTCATGGTCAGATTTAAACCTCTTATTTTATTTCCTTTTTTTTTTACCTGCTCAACTGAATACTCAAAAAAACAAATGACTAATGTTTGAAGTTGTACCTCAGAAGTGGTTGTTTTGAACAGATATGTCCACCTCCTCTGAAATGAGATGTCAGATATATACGTTTAACAGAGGTGAACATGTTACTGGTGGTCAAGTCAGATATATTCACTGTGTCTCTCTTCAAATAGAAAACTGATTTAAACAAATCCAGTTATATGTATATGCAGTATATATTATATACACATATATTCTGTATAATTTACCTTCTCTGTATAGGGTTTACTGTATTACATAGTACAGCAGATATACCAAAGGTTTGGTCCTAGGGCCATTTTTTGACCTTGTTGTGTTTAAAGTTGGAAAACAGATAAGGTTTCTTTACTTTGTTTTTGAACATTCTGACCAACCTTCAGCTATTTCCACCTTACAACAACTATGTTTTTGGCAAACTAAAATATTCTTTATTCATTATTTTAGCAGTTTCCCATTCAGGATAGCTTTTATTTATTATTTGTTGGTAATTATACTAGTTACCCACATTGGCTTGCTGTATTATTGCAGACCTAGTATGTAAGATATTTGCTTATCAGTTTACCATTTTCTGACAACATTTAGCTAAAACTTGCATCAATCAGTGTTGTAGTAAATATCGGGAAATGCTAACTTGACTATTTGATTTAATTATTGGCAAGAATATGTTGGCCGTCAGGTGTTTTATACTATCATAATATTGCGAACGTCCATAGTGTGTACACTATTAGGCATTAAGACTACTCCACACAAGCCAGGAAGCCTAATTTCTCTGAGGAGTGTGAGGGGGAGACAGGTCTGTGTGGAGACAACAGTGAATCAGACTTTGGTGTCCTACGTCACAAAACAAAAAAAACAAAAAATAAAAAAATAAAAACAACTTTAAGGCAAGATGATTGTCATCATCATCTCTGTGATAACTTAAAACAAGTAACAAAATACTGATGTCAGGACAGACAACTTCACAGAAGTTAGCACAGAGCAAACACCTAGAACCCAGAGATTTAAGAAAAGGTAACCAAAAAAAAGACAAAGAACAGGAAGAGGGAAACATGGCGTGGAAATCACAGGTGATATCAAAACAAGGAGTGGACCTAAGTTTGTGCCTACAAATGTAAAATTCCAGTGTTCAATGTGGGTTTTTTTTTTAGGATAGGCCTCCCGAAAAGCCATGGCAGAAAATGTTAAATTTACATTAGTTGTCATTATTTTATATATTATTTTGGAAAAAGAAAGCCAATGTAGAGGATTTTAAAGGTCAAATTTTGTCTCACAACAGAAAATATCTGTTTTAAGGTTTAGCTCAATGAATCCACCATGAGAGAAGGATTCAGGTTAAATCCTGTCAAGTCCATGCTAAAACCCAAAGGTTCAGTTCATTTGGGCCACATGGGACTGGTTTCTGACCCACATATTTTGAGTGAAGCCCAGTTGACAAACCCATACGCTGCCTCTCCCTAGTTTTCCCAACTAACGATTCAACTTAGAAACAAACACAGTTATATGACAACTGTGTCCATCCCTCATGACCTTCAGTCCTCAAAGACCGTTAACAAACTGAAAAGAGTGTGACTAAGTCATTCTGCTGTGTGGTCTTGTGACAGTCGAGAGGCCAATGTTTCAACGATCATATGACTCATAAAAGACAAGAGACTTGTTTAACGGTTGGCACAGTGACATCCTTTGTTGTCTGCAACCACTTCCCTTTTTTGTTTGACGCTGCAGGCCGAGAAACGGCCGCTGAAGTTCTGTTGTCTGTCACACAACTGATGGTCAAATGGTTATACAAACGTTAGAGGAAACACAGACGGGGAAAAAGTTCACTTGTGGACAGCGTTAATTTGAACAGGGGGGGGGGGGGGGGGGATTAATAATTATCACGTAAATGGAGGAGGCCAAAATATCCCATAATAATAAAAAAACCATGAAAGCTGACTAGGCTCAGCTTGTGAGCACAGAATTGTTGCTACTGTATCTGGCTGGTATCATGCCTCTATGCCTGCGTATCCTTACTTTGCATCACCGTTCACTCACTTCAGCTGACACTAAAATAATATGTTATAATCAGCCTTTGCTTATTTAAATCCCCAAAATGAATTGCCTTGAATATTAGAATATGAATATTAGAAGTGTCAGTGCTCCATGTAAGAAGTGACATGGGAGTTTTGAGTATTATCAAATTTGTAAATTAAACCCCAAAAAAACAAACATAGTCACATTGACTAGGGCTTTGAACCACAGATATAGATGATTTCTTCAACTATATCAGGAGAAGCATATTCAGGTTAAGGATTTAGAGTGGTTAAAATTCTCTTTGGAGTTTGACACAACTAGAAAGTAACCACTTAGCTGACAGGACGTCTCTGCCAAGTCTGTGACTTTTACCTCAGTCATTTGAGTTTCATTGATGAAGACTGGAATTCAGTTGGAACCCATTTGAACAGGACCTGTTTGTCAGCTAGCAGCTCAGTGCTAACACAACACATGTGACTTTTATTCCCCTTAGCTTCCGTTGAGCAGCATCTCTGTTGCGGTGCTCTCAGGACAGGCCTCCCCCAGTCGAGAAGGTCCGGTCCGCAGCACTAGCTTCCCCACACCTAGTCCACCTGAGACCAGCCCTCCAGGAGACAGAGACTTCCTAGGAAACAGGAAATGGATGAGTCATGACACGTAAGTGAGTTTGTAAGGGCATCACACAATCAGACAGTGTCAGGAAGAAATGAGTCGATGAGGCTAAAGATAATAGAATTCAACAGAAACAGGAGACGGGATGTGGTAACAGAGGGTTGATCAGAGCGTTCAGGCAGCAGCACAGACACCTTTATCACTTTTTGGCTTTCAGCGGTGAGTCAGCATTTGATAAGAACTATTGAAAGAACTATCTTAATTAGCTGGCAGCTAAGTGTCTGTGACCTTGGATCTGCAGCTCATTCAGACAGATAGCAGAACTTTAACATTACTGACTGAGACGTTGTCCCATTTTTTCAGAGATGAATAAAATCTGGCAGAAACAGCCACTGAGTCAAGTGTGGTCTTTAAACAGCGTACAGTCCGGTTTATATTCAGCATATATCTCTTATTTATTTCACGTACAGCATGGCTTAGGAGGTACCTTTGTAGCAACCATGACGCCTAGTGGCTTTATGAGGTACTGCAGGAAAAATGTGGAATTTTAATTCAATCCTATTAAATGCAAAACATGTATGCTTATATATTTCGCTAGGGTTTGTCAAGTTTAATATGTAAAAAACGTTTTCATACAATACATAGAAGTATAAAGTGGTGTCACTTACTGTCTAAAAATCACTCTAGTAATGCATCCCACTCCTGTTTTGTCACATCTGGGCCACAAGGTGGCAGCCCCGTTGGCATTTATTTTATATTGCTACTCTCACCAACAGTTTATTCAAATAAACACATACGTCAATCAAAAACTATGTCAACAAAATGCTGAATGTACAGTCACTGACTGTCAGTGTATGTGTGCATTTACAGTATATGTCTGTGTATAGAAGTTGAAAACAGACAGGTGAGTGCAGTGTTTGTCATGGTAATTTACCTGAAAGCCATCTTTTTCAGCAGGTGAGCGTCCACCTTCTCTGTGAGAGGAGCCCCTGTATGAGGGTGTTCCTTTGTAGGAGAGGAGAGGAGGGGTGAGGAGCAGGTGGGAGGAAGAAGGTGGGAAGCATCCTGAGACTGTGGAGGAGTCAAGTCTACAGACTTCTAGGAGAGTAGGGACAATCAACAGAAAACAAAAAAAACAGTAGGTTGAAGTGAACTGTGGTGTCTTTATATACATCCAACGTAACTGGACCAACACGAGTCCTGACCTCCTGCTGGTCCGGATCCTCCAGGTCCAGAACACACAGCTCCAGCTCAATATCTGGGTCCGGCTCTGGTTCACTCTCAGCCTGGTCCTGATCTGGGCTGTAGGTGGTCTGATGGGCTTGTAGATCAGTAACAATTTTCTCTCTGCTGCACATAGAAGCTTGACAGTCGTGAAGCTCTGGTGCACAAAGTTGCTCACTAAAAAAAAAACAACAACAAAAAAATCAACAAACAAAATAAACAGACATAGAACGTGTGTATCTTTAGGAAACAATGAGAAAATATGACCATATTTGTGCTAACCGTCAATCATCATTTTGGAGATTTTACCTTTTATTTTAGCAACCTGAGCTAATTTGCTGTACTTTTATCTTCAGCTTTTAGTAATAAGTAGGTTCAGTTTCATTCACCTTTTGCTTTTTTTAAATTAAGCTGTTGTTATAGGGCTGGTGAAATCGAGGGCTGTCGTTTGTCTGTCCATTTATTGATGCTTTAATACACAGTTCATACACAAGTTACTGTTTGTACGCAATGAAAGAGATTAAAATTCCACCTTTTCCACGATCTTCAGGTGAAATATATTTTAGTACTGATTTGAGTTATACTTTTACATAATGTACCTGACATTTTTCCATCATTTGGATTAGTCAAAAATAAAATACATCTACCTGTTGTTATGTGCCTTTCTGTTCTGTTTCTTTGGAACCGAAACAGGCTGCCACAGGAGGCGCCATTAAGTACATGGTTGCAGCTCATAGGCTGCTGATGACCACTATAAATTGCACAATACCTTGACTAATTATTTTTAAACCTAAATTCATTTCTGTGCAAACTCCAACTAATATATTTGGGCTAATAGTAAATGCTAGCTTTTGCAGCTACTTACTGTAGTAAAATATATATTTGATCCACTTTCAAGCTACTTTTAGACTTTATTTTACCAATTTTTGTCAAGTTAAAACATTCTTTTTTTAAAATAATTTGTTTTAACCTTTAGCAGTTTTGTCTCATTTAGCTACAAGGTTATTTCTATGGTCAATTCAAGTTCACTTTCAGTGCTTCTAAGCATTTTTCAGCATTTTATTTTTTAATTTTCCACTTTGTTAACTTCTGACTGTAAAATTACCAGGTGGCTATAAAGGCTAATTTTAGAAAGCATGTTGCCATTTATCCAAAAAAAAACTAAGAATGGTTAGATTGCATTTCTGGCAGGTCAGTGTGTTTTTATCCACCAGGCCGTTGCTCTATTTTTAGTCTGAGCACCGAGAGGAAATGGCTGCTGCACAGAGAGATAGAGGAGGGATGAGTAATTAGGAAGGAGAGCGAACCAAAAATAACCTCCGCTCCCTTCTATAAAAGATTTGGTCGTACCATTGGACACAAATTCTCTAATTATAATCCCGTCATTTTAATGTCTGGTTTGCATTTGGCGAGAATGAGATCTAAATATAACTGGCTAAAAAAGGGATTTTATGCTTTCATCATGTACCTTTCTAGGAAACTGGAGTGGCTAGAAGAGTCTGAACCTCTGGAGCTCCACCTGTAGTCACTGTGGTCCAGGTGTGGACTGTAATCTGGAAGAGTTTCAAGCAACATTAATAAGTAAACCCAAATGGAAATCACCCCACCTTTAAACAGGATTTTCTTAAGTAAAAACAAAGGGCAAAGTAAAAATAAAGGGCTTCACTTTAACAAGTGCCTACTAAGCTATTTGTGTTTACAGATGAGTGTAAGTAAAAAAAATCTATTTAATTATTATATCAGTCCAAACACTTGTACAGGTGGTATTTCAGAGGATTTCTTTTTTGTAAATTCTGGGATGTTCATGAAAAGAAAAATGATCAGACAGACTAGATTCAAAATTTCAAGGACTTTTACAGGTTTCCATTCAAAGTTTGTAGCAATTTAATGACTGCTCTGATTTCAAAATGAAAAAGGTTGAGGAACATAACACAGCTCAGCACTTGAAAAAAAAACGTAACGCTGTTACGCTGTTTGCACTTGAAAAAAAAACGTAACGCTGTTGAATAAAACTGATATGTTCAGGACTTTAAAATCGACATTAAAACATGTGCAGAAAAAGAAAATTCAACAACAGTGAGCAACGCTCTCTATGATCCCTCCTTGCCTTTAAAGTTGATGGGTGTGGTGCTGGTACTTCTCTGGCAGGCGGTGGCCTGGACAGGATCGGTCGTGTGATAGCCTGTGCGCGAGGCCCTGGATATGGCCCCCCACTTAGAGATCATGGGCCCCTCACTGAAGGGAATGATTGGATCTTCTTCTTTCATTCGACGGTAGTGGTCCAGAGAATGCAGCCACCGCTTTCCCACACTATTGGTACCAGTACTCCCACTGCCGCCTCCACCACCAACACCACCTCGGCTACCGCTGTTGTCTAAATCCTGCACAAATAAAAATAAAGGGCACTGTTAGAAAAACACCCAGACAAACAGTAGTTAGTATCAGACGGCGTTTGTACTTATGGACAGCATGAGTGGGCTGAATCTCACCGAGGGCTCTGAGCAGGAGTGAGGAGGCGTGTGCGTCAGTGTCTCAGGCTCAAAAGGACTAAGGCACGGGCCAATGGAACCACAGGACCATGGAGAATAATGTGCTAAACTTTCCTCTCCTCTGTACCTGCAGCCAGCACACTGACCTCCACTGCTCTCCAAACGCTGTGAGGAAGAGGCAAAGAAGAAGAACTGAGTGGAGAACAATGACTTCTAGATTGGATGACTTTGATTCCCAGACTGGAGAACTTGGAGTTTTAGATTGAAGGACTTAGATTTCTAGACTGGACGATGTCGATCTCTACACTGCAGGCAGTCGTTTGTTCACACTGGCAGTTTGTTGTTTACAGGTTGACATTGTGAGCAACTCCCTCGAAGATTGAAGTTGGAGCTCATTTCTACCAAAAGACAGTGATGGATAAAGGTTTGGCATTCCTTCTCCAGTCCTACTTTTTCCATGGACAGTAGAGGCATCATTGACATTCCTTTGCTTGTTAGTTCTAAGTTCATTAGTGTGAGTATGAGATATATTCAGGCAAAATTTACAGAATGGTCTACAATCTGTGCCCTAAACCACGCCTTTGGCCTAATTGGTCCACAGAGGACCACTTACATTGAGATTTGATTTTTCTTGCTTTGATGTCACATCACATATTACTATTACATCATGCAGCCAAATATTAGCCAAGTTAACGAGTTATTTGTACATTTTATGTAAGTAAATTTGACCTTAAACAACACACACAAATGTCTAACACAACAAGTGGGTCCACCATGATAATAATCAATGTCAAAGCAGCTAAAATACAGTATGCCTGAGGCCAAAGATGCCTAATGACGGGTGTAGTTGATGGTCGCTGTCACAGGGGATTTAACAAGCCCAGCCAAAGGTAAGGAAGTGGATTTATGTCCCCCCCTGTAACACACTACAGTTGGCTGCTCACTAATTTGGACTTTCTGTCACAGCCGGTGCTGACATGACACTCTGCTGTCAGTCCAGGGGCATCATTATATTGGAGCCGTTTGTCTCCGTGACCACAGTTGTGCCTGTTTGTGCTTGTTGCAGTAGAATCAGGGTCATTAACTGAGACTGGTGAACAATTACCCCGACATCTGTCCCCGTTGTTTCTCCGCTCCTTTAATTAGAGCATGGTTTAAAGGTAGATGTTGTCCAAAAAGTGTCTGGACTTAAGTTCAACACTGCTCTCTGTCAGCTGAAAGCCTGAGTCACTGCTTGTTAAAGTCTGTCTTCAACCTATTCTCTCCCTCTCACATACACACACCCACACATGCACACAAGTTACAATTGTGCATTGCTATGATATCGTCCTCCACTGTTGCTAAGCAACTATCTCCCACTTAAATAGCATTGGACTCGGTTAAAATGCAAGCTTTTGGGACTGGAATTGAATCCAACACGAAATTTAAAAGAAGGTAAATTGTATTGCGGATTTTTTCACTCTGTTTCAGATACCTGCCGAGAAAATATTAACAAAGACGTCATCATCATTTCAATAAAATCAGCTACACATTCTAGTGGTTTTTCCACCTCAGATCCAAAATCCATGGTGAAGATGTGGGAGGACTGGGAGGGTCTGGAGGTGCTGTGATGGTGGTGATGGTGCGCCCACTGTTCCTGCTTCCTCCTGAACAGATCCTCGTAGCCCAGGGGAACACGACTGTAGTCCTGAGTCATGAAAAGGAGAAATTAAAAACAGGAGAAATTACTAAAAGGATATAAATGCTGAATTAATTAACAGTATAATGTTTAGAAAACCTTTACCATGGAATTGAGACTCATATACTGTAAATATATATACCATAATTTCCAGACTATAAGCCCCTATTTTTTTTTCACACGCTTGCGGCTTAATCAATGATGTGGCTAATTTATGGATTTCTACGGGCTAACGAAGTTCATACCTCTAGCGATCAATGACTTTTCTGGTAGACTACTGTGTGTTATACTAGTAGCGTACGTCTGTCTGTGAATGG